ATATTAATATACCTAATAGACATACACCTAGATTCTATTTATCCTATATTCATCTTGCCAATTATACTTTCACTAGCTGAAATGAGTCTTGACTATCAACATAGACAAATCAATATAATTTACCTTCCAAAATCTAACTGTTACAGAATTTAATTGTATAGCATTCATAAATAATAGTAATACCTGTTATATCGACCTGTAGGCCTAAGATGCGCGCAGCGATAAGCGGTTATCACGCCATTTTATCGATTTCGTCCACACATTTTGACGTCGATAAAAGTTATCACGGCGCGCATCTTAGGCCTACTGAAGTTTAATTCCGTACTACCTATTTATCGAAATAAAAATCTAATACTTTAAAATGAAACCTGAGTGTATATTTACTGGAAAGTTATCAATATTTTCTATTCTACACCCATCTGTAATTCCAAACTTTTTAAAATGTTATTCTGAGGCAAATCCATCGAAACTGTTGCTGTTTTCAATTGTAGCAAAACTATTTAGTTTTTGCAGGTTCGATATTAGTTCAGAGATTTCAAAATGGTTCTGCCACAAAAATCTTTTTTACATGGGGCCGTATCGGTGCTATATTCCCTTTGGGATGTCCACCAAAGCTTTTAATATATTTCTCTGTTGATACGAAGGTGGCCTTACGATCGGGTTTTGGTATAGATAAGAGCATTAGGACAGGCTAATAAACTAATAGATATCTATTGGGGCTTATTGTAATAAAGTGCTTTCTGGCTTTTTTGTTTCATTGCGTCTAAACACACAGATAAGGGTCGGCTGGCTAATTATGACCATTAACAAAATGAATCTGAAAATCTGATCTTCCACATTATTATTAACTCCGGCTCAAAGTCATAACTTTTCGCTTGCCAAGTGCAATCACTTGACATAAGCAATCTTTATCTACTGAGCTATCGGAATACTTACCGCCGCTCACCTCACCGCCTTACTCTTTCTGCATGACCCGTGGTTGACTGGCAGAGAATACCATCCGGCATTAAGTCCGCCACAGTGCATTGTTAGTATGTGTGCTAAAAGTTTAAATAAATAAAATACTGATTTCCTCTCGAATTATTTTAATACATTTCATACAGTTAACCGGCATCTTCAACACTACCTAAATCCTTGTAGTTAATTGTTATCATTATCATGACTTAACGATTATTTATTCTAACTAAAATCTAAAGGAAAACAATAAAACGAACAAGATAAACAGAAAGTAACCACGAATCCACAAAAAAGGTCACGCTAATTGTCTCGGCGAAAGAAACTATAGTAGTAACAATCGAGAAGTGTGATTCGGTTTTTTGGACGAATCGTTTTTTGTGGATTATGTCGTTTGCAGCCGAGGGTTTTCTGTTATTAATGCGATGGGGGAAGCATGGGATGAGATGTGAAGATAAAATTCACTTTTTTTTCTACATTAAGTAGCAGGAAAAGTGGCATTAAGTATATCCTTATAATATACTTGTATGTACCTATTAACAGAAAGACATACATTTAAGTATGTAATTGAATTTAGAATCATCAGCATTAACTCTATATTTCTGAACTAAAATTTTATATTTTTATAGGTAGTTTAAGGTCAAGCTAACTCCCAAAAAAGTTTGATTCACCCATTCTGGGACGCCCTGTATGTCATTAATGTAGCATCAAAGATAAGAAAAATGTATCTATTCATTACAGTAATGCAGTATGCAGTACAAATTTTACAAGTTTTATTAAGTAGCAACAGCTTAGAATCACGTTATGTCACTGATTTCCAACCTCATTCGAAAACTGTAACACTTCAGTGTGCTTACCATGAGTTTACGTTAGGTGTGCTCGCTAGCGACTGCGTAAAAAAATGACATTAATTGTATGACATATTGTGCAGCGCCCCTAGCGGCTACTTTCAAGAAACAAAATCTTCATAGAGATTTTTGACGTACTCGCTAGCGAGCACACCTAACGTAAACTCATGGTAGGCACACAGAATTTGTTATTTTAACTATGATTCAAAAAACTGGGCCTAAGGCGGCAAACTAAAGGTCGTGTATTCGATTCACACCTTAGGCAGTTCGATTTTTTCAAGCTGTTTATAATCTTCTCTAGTTCTTACACTTCTGTTTGTCAACAGCTATCTACCGATGGCAACACAACTACGTCGACGGTCTCCTTACAACTCACCAAAGCTGATGCTGGAGCCAAGTTTGCGTGCAGAGCGTCCAACCCTCAGATGCCGTCTGTGCCGGCGTTGGAAGACGACTGGACGTTGGATATACAATGTGAGTAATTATGTAAAGGTAAAAAGAAAAAGGAAAGCTAGAAAGGAAAGCGATGCAGGCCTATCTTTAGCAGTGAACGTCCTACGCCTGAAAAGCTGATGATGATTTAAAGTAAATCTTTATTTATAACACCTTTTTAATGGTCGAAGGCCTAAGAGTCAGTTTTACGAGATTTGCGCCTGTATACATTTTAACTCAGGAAAGAGAGAAGGTTTAAAAAATTATAAAGATTTTGGTTATTGCGTCTGTTTCCATTCACAACTAAATCCACAGTCGTTTGTTAAATATAACCGTCAAAATAATTTTCCATGGCATTCCTCCATTTCTTCATAAAAAAATTTTCTTTCTTTCTTCATCTTAGATTCACTTTTCAGATGTACCAGAAACAGTAGTGCGGTTAGGCACAAACTTAGACCGCACAAACATCAGAGAGGGCACCGATGTCTACTTCGACTGCATCATCAACGCACATCCCTACGTTTACAAAGTGGAATGGAGGCATAATGTAAGTTTTAAGCCAGTTCTAATAACAAACAAATTTAATAATCCGAATTTGGAGACTCAGTTAGTCTCCACAGTGCAATCAACTTCCGAATTTACGCCAGTTACTTATAGTCATTTAGTTTCACATTTAGGCGACTAGCAGTGCCACAAACGCGCGACAGACGTGCTGCCGATAATTTCTTACTATTATGATAGCGGATGCCTGCCTTCACACTATAAAAACGCCGCTGGAGATAAAAATAGCACCTAGAAATGAGGAAAAGTAGATCAACATTAATTTAATGATAGAAATTGATGTCTGAAATTAGGAAATCAATAATACAATAATTCACACAAATGGATTTAATACAATGTATTTACAAATAACTAAGCCTCTTGCTGATAGAGAAGTTCTCAATAAAAAAAATATAAGGATAGTCTTTATCCGTTGGGATATCAATCAAATAGCATAAAAAATTAAGAGTTTTCAAACCGTCAACAGGGTAAAACGCTGCTCCACAATGTAGGACAAGGCGTGATCATCAGCAACCAGTCGCTGGTCCTCCAAGGAGTGGGCAGGAAGACGGCTGGCAACTACACGTGTGTGGGCTTCAACGCGGAGGGCGATGGCGAGAGCAAGCCTTTCTCGCTGGATGTACTTTGTAAGTGTTTCTTAGAAACTGTTGTTTTTTTATCTTTCTTTCCTTAGTATAAATAGCACGTCAGGTTAAACACTGTGAGGTCTTATGTGGCTGCAATAGAAGCGAATTTGCAACAAACATGTACATGCTGATGTGCTGTCATCCGTACCTAGTAGTACCTATGGATTACACTTCTTGATAACAATCTAATTTAGGAGGTGCAGATGCAATCAATGGTAGAGTTTGCAAGAAGATGCTTAATCACTCCTGTCTTTACCTCTGAAAAAAAAAAGTAAAATACATAACATCCATANTCTCAATGTTATCATTATCATGACTTAACGATTATTTATTCTAACTAAAATCTAAAGGAAAACAATAAAACGAACAAGATAAACAGAAAGTAACCACGAATCCACAAAAAAGGTCACGCTAATTGTCTCGGCGAAAGAAACTAAAGTAGTAACAATCGAGAAGTGTGATTCGGTTTTTTGGACGAATCGTTTTTTGTGGATTATGTCGTTTGCAGGGGAGGTTTTTCTGTTATTGATGCGATGGGGGAAGCATGGGATGAGATGTGAAGATAAAATTCACTTTTTTTCTACATTAAGTAGCAGGAAAAGTGGCATTAAGTACTATATCCTTATATACTTGTATGTACCTATTAACAGAAAGGCTATACATTTAACTATGTAATTTAATTTAAAATCATCAGCATTAATTCTATATTTCTGAACTAAAAGTTTATATTTTTTATAGGTAGGTTAAGGTCAAGCTAACTCCCAAAAAAGTTTGATTCACCCATTCTGGGACGCCCTGTATATCATTACAGTAGCGTCAAAAGAGAAGAAAAATTTATCTATTCATTACAGTAATGCAGTATGCAGTACAAATTTTAAAAGTTTTAATAAATCACAACAGCTTAGAATCACGTTACGTCACTGATTTCCAACGTGCCTCATTCCAAAACAGTAACGCTTCAGAACGTACTCGCTACAAAGACACAGTCTCAACTCTTCTGGTTCTTTCAGTTATACCAAGAAAGTCTCCTCTAGTTTTTAAAATTTCTTAGCGATTAGAGTCGCTTCTGAAACTAAATTATAAATAAACAACTTCAAAATCGAACTGCCTAAGAGTAAGCGCACACCGTTGATTTTTAGTTGGCCGATAGTTGTGCCCGATTTTAATTTGTATGAAGAATCGGCCAAATCGAATTGGCGTAGTGTGCGCACTCCCATACATGCCCATACTGATCAACTGCCCGACTAAACTATCGGCCGACGGGGAAAAGTCAACAGTGTGCGCTTACTCTAAGAGAGCAAACGAACGGTCGTGGGTTCTATTCCCGCCTTAGAGTAGGCGCACACCGTTGATTTTTAGTTGGCCGATATTTGTGCCCGATTTCAAATTGTATGAAGAATCGGCCAAATCGAATCGGCGTAGTGTGCGCACTCCCATAATTACATGCCCATACTGATCAACAGCCCGACTAAACTATCGGCCGACGAGAAATCAACGGTGTGCGCCTACTCTTAGGCAGTTCGATTTTTTCAAGTTGTTTATAATCTTCTCTAGTTCTTACACTTATGTTTGTCAACAGCTATCTACCGATGGCAACACAACTACGTCGACGGTCTCCTTACAACTCACCAAAGCTGATGCTGGAGCCAAGTTGGCGTGCAGAGCGTCCAACCCTCAGATGCCGTCTGTGCCGGCGTTGGAAGACGACTGGACGTTGGATATTCAATGTAAGTTTAGTAAAGTAATGATTAGCATCAAGATGACCATAGGTAGCAGGAAGCCGCTGAATGCAAGCCACTACTTATCAATCAATATGGAAAGCATTGGGGGAGGCCTGTGTTCGGCAGGGGAGTCCTGTGGCTGAAATTATGGGTGGTGATGGCCTTATAAGAATGCGCTGGTTCCAGGCTTATGTTCAGCGGTGAACTAAAATGATGAGATTTAACGAAAAACTGGAGGTTAAAAAAATCTTGTAAATATTTTGGTTGCATTGTTTCTATTCATAACAAAATTCAAAGTGGTTTATAAACATTCATAAATTGAATCATTTGCCACATACAAGCCGTAGAAAAAAATAATTTTCCATGATATTCTGCCCTGGTTCTTCATCTTGATTAATTTTTCAGATGTACCAGAAACAGTAGTGCGGTTAGGCACTAACTTAGACCGCACGAACATCAGAGAGGGCACCGATGTCTACTTCGACTGCATCATCAACGCACATCCCTACGTTTACAAAGTGGAATGGAGGCATAATGTAAGTTTTGACGCAGGTTTATAAACAATAAACTCCCCAATTATGTATCAAAATTTCATCAGTCAGTCAAAATTTATTTATTTGTTTAGACTAATAAATAGTTCTTACAAATCGTCATTTTGCTCTTAAGGAGCCTCTACATGTCTCATAATCTTTTTACCCTATCAGCGCTTCGAGACGATCATCATATATATCAGACATCATAATTATTATTATTGTCGATATGTTACGGTTAATGTGATAAATTGAAAATTATTAATAATTATTACTTTTCCATTATGCCTATAACATAATAGGTTAAGGTGCGGCGGGGGTGGCCCTTGGGCCACCCCTAAGCCGCCTATTTAGTTTTATAAACACATAAATGACCTCACATTAATCACATTTACCAAATCATGCGGTAATTATTCAAAATAACCGGCGATTCTTCATAATTTTCACATTTATCACTTTGACCGTAACAGATATATAATTCTAAATGCAAAAGAAAGAAATATTATGCATTCCCAAAAATATTTAAGCAGCTTGTTGGTAGAGTCGCCTGAAACATTATCATTTTCAAAGCTCTCTACTATTCTCTGTATACGAGATTTCTTTACAACCTTATCAATCATCACCCAATAATTCCATAGAATCGAACTACTAACGCCCGTTTCCTATATTCAATCCTCGTCGAAATCCGTATTTCAACTGTCAAATTGAATTCAGTTTTAGATATTCAATGCGTTTACACTTTAATATTGTTTCAATAGTCTTATAAACAGTATGAAAATGTAAAAACATCGAAAACCGTGGATATTTTGACCTAAAACATAATATTGAAATATTACATTTGGTAATTGTTACGAGACTTAGAAACGCGACTCCTATAGATTTTTGTAGCAGAAACAAATTATGACGTCCGTTTTTTTCGTCAAACCTAATAGTTAATGGTGTCAAAGACCCAATTTATGAGTTGTCAAACCGTCAACAGGGCAAAACGCTGCTCCACAATGTGGGACAAGGCGTGATCATCAGCAACCAGTCGCTGGTCCTCCAAGGAGTGGGCAGGAAGACGGCTGGCAACTACACGTGTGTGGGCTTCAACGCGGAGGGCGATGGCGAGAGCAAGCCTTTCTCGCTGGATGTACTTTGTAAGTGTTTCTTAGAAACTGTTGTTTTTTGTATCTTTCTTTCCTTAGTATAAATAGCACTTCAGGTTAAACACTGTGAGGTCTTATGTGGTTGCAATAGAAGCGAGTTTGCAATAAAAATGTACATGCTGATGTGCTGTGATCTGTACCTAATAGTACCTACACTAATAGGATTACACTTCTTGATAACAATCTAACTTGGGAGGTGCAGATGCAATCAATGGTGGAGTTTGCAAGAAGATACTTAATCACTCCTGTCTTTACCTCTGGAAAAAAAAGTAAAATACATAACATCCATATTTACCTAACTTCGTTAACGANACATCCATTTTTTTCACTCTGCTATTTGGATCGATCGCTCATATTTATCTCATTTTGAGATACATATCATAAAGCTCAGAGCTTCTTCCTAGAAAATCTTGTCCAACAACTTTACTGACCTCAAAGTTCATTCATGTTGTATTCGTGAATCATATTTGACTCACGAAAAAAGGAAACTGTTCAGTAATTCTACCCCTAAACTCATTGTATGACTTCTTCGAACACTTTGGAATTAATTAGCAAAGAAATTCTGCCCGCCTTTTGTGAAACATGATATCGGTGATAATGATCCTGCGTCTAAAAGCCAGAAACAAAATTAAGTGGTCGTGTCAAAACAATTATTATTTTTTATAACAAAACTTGAAAACTTTGACAACGGGATTATTACCACCTCTCGTTCCCACCGCTGCAACTCCTGTGTAGCCAGGATCTACAGCTTGACCGCCAATAAAAACCCAACCAGTGAATGTCAAGATTGTCTCGGGGAAAGTTAAACTGTGATTGGACTCGCAACGAAATTAATGAGAAAAACATAGGCGGAGTTCGAATTCTTGCCCAATATTTCCGTAGCTTAGCGGCCAGAGCAGCCTCTCGGCACTATGGGTTCAATTTCCACCAGGGCCAATGAGGGCTANAGGTAGCAGGTGGCCGCGAGAACAATAGGCGCCGAGTGCACGTTCGTAGCGCGTGGTCGGTCGATGACCGCACCCGATCGAAGCACACTGGAATGTTATTTTTGTGCACTTATTATGCGGAAATTTAATTAAATTAAGAAGCGGGGCGATATTTATGTACGCGTTGTAGCTTAATAATATGCTTAAATCGTAGTCAGTCAATTGAAATATGCAAATGAGTGCAAAATATTTAAAATAAATGCAATTGTAGCACAGAATTTAGCGTAGGCGAGCAAATTATTAAGCTAGTGCGCAGTATGAAAGAAGAAGTGATGGAAAATAATTAAATTTGAAATGAAGGTAGGAATATAGTGCCAAAAAAAATCGAATGTTCTTAAAATAATGGAATTTAGGCAATTTAAAGCGTGAATTTGCAAATGAGAAGAGTTAATTTGAATAATTAGGCACAGAATATTGATTTGAAACTGCGAATTTAACGGTAAAACACCACTTGAATGCAAGTTACAAAGTTCACTAATATGCACAAGTCAAAGGGGACGAAATTAGGATAGATGAAAAGGAACGGGCTCACAGTTAGAAGGGCAGGAAGCAATGCTGGAAAGAGTAGTCCAGGCTGTTGGCTGCTGTCCGTCCACCTCGTACGTAGGCGTGATCCGTTTTTCGTAATTTCTTCGATACTTCTGTTATGAGGCGATGCGGGGCGCGAACTGCTGCGTGTGCGCTCCGTTGTAGTCACCGCTGATGGTTTCCGTCCTTGGTTAGGCTTGACTTGGCTGCAAATTGTTCCGCGCGCAGGCGATGACCTTTGCCCTCCACGCGTTCGGTTGACCGTTGGATTGAGACTTCGTGTTTTAGGCGGAATATTAGTCCTGTCACGGTTTTGTTCAGGGAATTTAGACGAACAATAAAAGATTTGGATTTTAGAATATTAGGTTTATAGATTTACCAAGTTTGAATATAAATACAATGCAATCAAGTTAATAGTTCGGGAGGCGAAAGAGGTCTGTCGTTGGAGTGCGAATTTGACAGCTCGGCGCGGGAGCGCCCACGTTACGCGCTGTGATTGGTCCATAAATCAGCAGCGACATTATGGCGTAGACAACCTCTCTACAGATTTATTATAAGTATAGAATATTTTAATTCACAACGTTCTATAGTAACTATTTCCATATCTTAAGTTTTTGTTTTGCATGATGACTTATTTTTAAGTCATACCTACTTTTTCCTGTTTTTCTAATATAATATTATAACAATTAACAATACATAGAGTAAATATTATAACACATTTTGTTTGCAAAAAGAAGCATAGTTTCGACACAAAATTTTTCCTTGACTTTTTTAAAGTTTAAAACATTTTCTTCCTAAATTAAATTACATTTGACCTACTTTTCCACGTGTACACCTACGAGCAAAAAAGTATCCAACAAGAAACACCGGGGGCTTTTAATGGAATAATTTCCTCGTCACGATAAGGCATACAATTTTAATTGAGTCTTAGGAGGAAATAAGGTTCGTTGTTACGCGCATATTTGATGCCTGCATCCAAATTACACTGTACACTTCAGGCCACAGAAAAGTAACGTGGTAAAAAGTTGGTATTTTTGATTAACATTTTAATTAAATCATATAAGGACGACTTGAGATCCGAGGAGCGCTGTTTAAGCTTCGTTGCCGCTGGACTATTGCGCTGAACCCACTCATACTTAATTCAATTTATTGATTTATTTATATTAGGGAAACAAACATTTTTGATACACAGACAAATAATCACACAAAAATTGGACAAAATACAGCAAAGTTTCCACAATTAAAATTAATACAGCATGCAAACTAAACAATAAATAAGTATAAATTATACAGTAATTTAAAATGTGAAATAAATACAGTGTCATTTTTCAAAACTCATGAAACTTTTCTAGGGTCATTGAACAGAGTGATGCGGCAGGTACAAAAGACACTTAACTTCAGTGATATTCTATTTATTGAGAAGATAATTTACAACCATGTGCACACACTTGAGTGGTAGGAAAAAGAGACCATAGAGAGGGGCCATAGAGCATACAACGCTTCTGGGTTGCCAGATATCGTTATTACATTTTTACCAGTCATGTTAGGCTTGTTCGGTGCATCTGAGGCTTAGTTAAAGGCCCTGTGTTTTAATTTGTGCAATAAAACTTCATAAAAGCTAAGATGAAAAGTTATTTATAAACGAAATGAAGTTTAACAAAGTAACAGTGTCTTAATGAAGCGCAGAAATGATATTACAAATATTCAAAGACAAGTTTATTCGCAAAAATGTTTCTCAGTTGACTTTCCAACGAAATCAAATTGAAAGACTTGAAGCTACAAAAGAGTAATCAGATTATCAAATTAAAGAAAGACAATAGAAAGTTAGACAATCACTTTACTTGAATACTTTAACAAAAGGGCAAAACTTCAGTTCATGCGCCTTTGTGAACTTGATTTATAAATGACTTTCATTATAGTAACTAATAGCCAATAAGCTTTTTGCCAGTAGTGGCATAAGCGTTTTTAAAGTTCTTCTAATGACAAAAAGACTGGCAGCTTTCTTTGACAACTAAGAAGTAAAAAAAAAACAAGTAAAAAAGGTCGATGATCTGGTAAAGGTCGCGGGAAGAGCCTGGATGCGGGCAGCGCAGGATCGTTCATTGTGGAAAACCTTGGGGGAGGCCTTTGTCCAGCAGTGGACGTCATTTGGCTGAAAAAAGAAAGAAAAGAAAGACTTTCATGTTGTCAACTAGGCTAACACAATAAAGGCACAACTCTAAAAACATATCTTATGACTGGGAATCCAATATGATAGCGAGGTCATGAATGATTTTTCTTTGTCTTAAAGTATAATTTAGAATACTCAGGCTCTTCTATTCTCAAAATGAGACCGATAAATAATAATTGTTTATGTATTTTAAACGACACTGACGAAAGTAATCGTGAATAGGTACTTAGACGCTATGCAAAATAAACGATAGTTTTACCCATATTAAAAGCAGTTATTTTAGTTTTTAAAATATATTATATAAGACACTGGTTTGTATTTCGGATCACGTAGCCATCATAATCTTCACCTCAAGATCAATTTCTGGCTGCATGGACACAGTAAATATTTCAGAGACCACTTTAGGGTGCGCGTACATTAGATATAGTCTTAAATAGCTTTTGACTAAAACATTTTTTCAGGTGGAATGAGCGTTTGAGGCACTTGAAGTTGTTTAATTTTTATCGGTTATAATCACACAAAGTATAGCTTTGGGAAAATTATAATTATGCATCATGGCCTTATAAAATTAATAAAAATATGTAGTAAATTATAATCATAATTATTATAGAATGGGTCAAAAGTTATACATAAATAGTCCACTCGTTATGATTTTATTTTTATGCATCTCCTAGATTGACATAGACATAAGAATTGTGTGCACTTTCGATTTCCTCTTATAAACACTACAACTAACAGATTTAGCAGTATAAAGCATCGTCACAGTATGTTCGCGAGCGTCCCAAAAACGTTCGCTCCAATGTCCATACACCTTTACCTCGCAGATTTAGCATAATATGTGATAAATCATAGTTAAGGTTCAGTCAAACCAACGCGATCACACGCGTTCTGATCACGCCAGCTGATTGCGTTTGATCGCGTTGTTTTGGCTGAACCGTTACAGTATGCTCACGAGCGTCCTAAAACCGCTCGCGGCGTTCGATTCAATGTCCATCCACCTTAACCTCAGGGCTTGTTTGCCCTCCAGTGTACACTAGTTTTGCTAGACTCATCGTTGTGGTATGCTCGCGAGCGTCCCAAAAACGCTCGGGCGTTCGCTCCAATGTCCATCCACCTTAACCTCCGAGCTTGTTTGCCCTCCAGTACACTAGAGTGCAGTAGAGTGGGGATGATGGCCCACTGCAAACAACTGGCAGGATATTGCGGTGCGTGCCCATACTTGGGCCGGGACGTCTTGCTAGACTCATCGTTATAGTATGCTCGCGAGCGTCCCAAAAACACTCGCGGCGTTCGCTTTAATGTCCATGCACCTTAACCTCCGAGCTTGTTTGCCCTCCAGTGTACACTAGTCTTGCTAGACTCATCGTTGTAGTATGCTCGCGAGCGTCCCAAAAACGCTCGCGGCGTTCGCTCCAATGTCCATGCACCGTAACCTCTGGATTTGTTTGCCCTCCAGGGTACACTAGTCTTGCTAGACTCATCGTTGTAGTATGTTCGCGAGCGTCCCAAAAACGCTCGCGGCGTTCGCTCCAATGTCCATGCACCTTAACCTCCGAGCTTGTTTGCCCTCCAGTGTACACTAGTCTTGCTAGACTCATCGTTGTAGTATGCTCGCGAGCGTCCCAAAAACTCACTCGCGGCGTTCGCTCCAATGGCCATGCACCTTAACCTCAGGGCTTGTTTGCCCTCCAGTGTACACTAGTTTTGCTAGACTCATCGTTGTGGTATGCTCGCGAGCGTCCCAAAAACGCTCGGGCGTTCGCTCCAATGTCCATCCACCTTAACCTCCGAGCTTGTTTGCCCTCCAGTACACTANAATGAGGGCTATCGTTTTTATACTTAACAGTTGGCACCCCTGGCGAGAGACAGGACCTTACTCTACAGTGGCGCCATCTTGATGAGTGCAAATGCGATAGTCCTCCTACCACTTTAGCGCTCACCAGTTGGCGCCACTGTCTTCGCTACTAGCAAGTGACAGGACCTTACTCTACAGTGGCGCTAACTGGTGAGCGCTAAAACGATAGCCCTCATTGATTTTTCCAAGCTGTCATACAATATTTTTGCCACAGATGCCCCAACGTGTAGAAGCTCCCAGCAAAGAGTCCATGGTGTGGCGAAGCAAGAACGAGCTCACATCACTTGCCACGTCGATGCAAACCCCCCAGAAGTTGTTGTAAGTATCAATTTTTTGTGAATGATTAAGTTAATTCTGATCTGGTGAAGGTCGTGGGAGGTAACTGGATATGGACAGCGCAGGAAATCCTTGGGGGAGCAGTAACCACCTTTTGTCTAGCAGGACGTCCTTGGACTGAAACAAACGACCAAGCGATTTACTTATTACAAATTGAAATTGATTGAAAATATTGACAGAGTAATTTATCTCGCAGAAACACTGTGATAAAACTGTTAGCAATCAAAATGTCTCGAACTTAAGTCCCAATAACAACACAGCTTTTCAAGTGCTTATCACATTCTATTAGACATACTTGAAGTATTCAACTTCGCAAATAAAACGCTTTAGAAAAATTATATACCATTACGAAAGGCTTTTTATATTTCTCTCGTGCCGGCCTGATTTATACGAGTAAGTTAGATAAATGTGAACAAAAATGTTCTTTAGACACTATTTATGGGCAACATAAAATGTTTACACTTGTAATATTTATTTCTATTAAGAATAACTAATAAATGTGGCTATGAAAAGTATTTGCTTTCAAGACTTCTTTGTTGCCTTTTACTTGTTGATGAAGGCCAAGTTTGTACCGAGGGAAAGTTAAACTTATTCATAAATGTCGCGTAAGAGTAGGCGCACACCGTTGATTTTTCGTCGGCCAATAGTTTAGTCGGGCAGTTGATCAGTATGGGCATGTATGGGAGTGCGCACACTACGCCGATTCGATTTGACCGATTCTTCATACAAATTAAAATCGGGCACAACTATCGGCCAACTAAAAATCAACGGTGTGCGCCTACTCTTAGGACCCGTGTCTTTCTATCATTGTGTCTACATGACATTGCCTTACCATGTCTAAAGCGCTTATACATGAGTTACATGCAGGCCGCTACCAACTGGGCTATCTGGAAATCCTTGGGGGAGGCCTATGTTCAGCAGTTGACGTCCTGTAGATTGATGATGATGATTATGATGATGATGATACGTGAATCTTCGACTATCGGTCGCTAGTCGCCGATTATAGATGTTTGTCTGCTAATAGAAAGAAAGAAAAATGATTATTTGACAACCAATAGAAGTCCAAAAATAAACAATAACTTAACTAATGCCCCTAAGTAACGTGGGTAACCTTACCCTTGTACAAGTTGATATTATCATTCATGAAATTATTATGAACCAAACGTCGACCCTTATTCGAAACTATCAATTAGCTCTAACATGTATTGATTTATACTCGGCCTTTAATATTACCCTATGATAGCTCGATTGAATTTCATGAATATTGACTGTAGTCTAATGGTAAATGTTATTCAGTTCAAGTAGAAGTTACTCTACTTATCTCGTTCGTTCGTTTCAGCCAAATGACATCCACTGCTGGACAAAGGCCTCACCCAAGGATTTCCATAACGATCAGTCCTGCCTGCATCCAGGCTCTTCCTGCGAACTTCACCACATCGTCGGTCCACCTAATGGGAGACCTGCCCACGCTACGTCTTCCGGCCCGTGGTCGCCACTTGAGAACTTTTCTTCCCGAACGGCCATGGTCTCTACGAGCTATGTGCCTTGCCCACTGCCACTTGATTTTAGCAATTCTGCGGGCTGCTGACTACCCAGTCATAAACGTAAAGTATCATCATTTTACGTTCTTGTAAGTTCCATAAATAATTGGTATGTATTTAAGTAACCAATTCTTCTAACAGTTCCGATGGACCTTCAACAACACGGCGAACAGCAACGAAGTGAGCGACACATACGTGTCCAGAACCGGCACCAGTTCCACTGTGACTTATACTCCTCACACAGAGATGGACTACGGGACCCTGCTGTGCTGGGCCCATAACAGGATAGGGAAGCAACGAGTGCCTTGTGTGTACCACATCATTGCCGCTGGTAAGTATTTATGCATTTTGAACTAGTCATGATTGAAGGGGAATGCAAATTTGATGACTCGGTAGAAGACCAAAGTGATGGTCGTAGTCTAGTAATATCTGCCTCAGGAATGAAGAAAGGTGGAATACTCTATATGGGTTTTAGAATTCAGGCCACTTCAGCAAACGTAGTGTTAGCTCTATAGAAAGAGAATATTAAAAGATAGATGGCACTATCTGGATAAAAAAAAAGCGGGAGATTGTATTTTTGCGGCATATTTGTTAGCTGGTTTATGTTTTTTCAAATTGAAGATAGTACCTACCTACATTTTGAGCTTAACATTGATAGTCAACGAGATTCATAGAGTCGCCGTCGTTTCTTTTTATTTGAGTGAATTATTCCTCCCATAGGTCGGCCAGATCAAGTCCACAACTGCACGGTGGTGAACGCCTCTCTGACGTCGTTCGGGGTTCGATGCTCCGAGGGATTCAACGGGGGCATGCCACAGTCCTTCCTTTTGGAAGTCCGAGATATTGTGACACAGGTGAGTACATTAGTTTTTAAGAGCAAACAAATATTACGGAGAATAAAACTTTTTAGGACAAAAAAAAATGCAATATCATTAAATAAACATAATTCTCAAATTCAAAGTATTTATTTGCAAAGAAAAGGTAAAATTAAATAGTTTGTCTCATTTTCATAATACCTACCTACGTATGTGGCTTTGTTTTGTGTTTTAAAATTAAATTCAAAAATATTAAATTGATTCAGTAACGTCTTGCTTCTGCCACGTTTGTTCTTTAATAAATGTTATTTTGTATTGTTCACCACAAACGCAAGATTGAAGACACGCAAGCTGTTATGTGTCTTCAAATCTTAACATCTAAATGTTTACTGAATCAAAACTTACTAAGATATTTCAGAAATCTCTTCGACACAATTTCTACAAAACAAAGAATCTTATTTATGAGAAACATTTTGTCTTAATTTCTAAGAAAATTGTCTGACCTCTATTTGCTCTAATCTATAATTCTGACATTTCAGTTGTAAGAAACTTTATGTTATACAATATTATAGTGTATACGACAGGCATATCAAACTACACATTTTCTTATTAAATTCATAACTATTACAACTACAAGTTGCTACAGTTTATGAGCCATTATCTGTACAAGAGGTACTTAGGTTTGAAGTGAATAAAGAGAATCTTCATGAAACTTAAGTTAAACTATAGGACGATATCTTTTACGGTGTAATAATGATAAATAATTTATGTGTGTTGTATTGATAGCACCACTCCATAAAATTCTTTAAAACAATCAAANGAGGGCTAACGTTTTTATACTTAACAGTTGGCACCCCTGGCGATTGACAGGACCTTACTCTACAGTGGCGCCATCTTGATGAGTGCAAATGCGATAGTCCTCCTACCACTTTAGCGCTCACCAGTTGGTGCCACTGTCTTCGCTACTAGCAAGTGACAGGACTTTACTCTACAGTGGCGCTAACTGGTGAGCGCTAAAACGATAGCCCTCATTGATTTTTCCAAGCTATCATACAATATTTTTGCCACAGATGCCCCAACGTGTAGAAGCTCCCAGCAAAGAGTGCATGGTGTGGCGAAGCAAGAACGAGCTCACATCACTTGCCACGTCGATGCGAACCCCCCAGAAGTGGTTGTAAGTATCAATTTTGTGTGAATGATTAAGTTAATTCTGATCTGGTGAAGGTCGTGGGAGGTACCTGGATATGGACAGCGCAGGAAATCGTTGGGGGAGCAGTAAGCACCTTTTGTCTAGCAGGACGTCCTTGGACTGAAACAAACGACCAAGCGATTTACTTATTACAAATTGAAATTGATTGAAAATATTGACAGAGTAATTTATCTCGCAGAAACTCTGTGATAAAACTGTTAGCAATCAAAATGTCTCGAACTTAAGTCCCAATAACAACACAGCTTTTCAAGTGCTTATCACATTCTATTAGACATACTTGAAGTATTCAACTTCGCAAATAAAACGCTTTAGAAAAATTATATACCATTACGAAAGGCTTTTTATATTTCTCTCGTGCCGGCCTGATTTATACGAGTAGGTAAGTTAGATAAATGTGAACAAAAATGTTCTTTAGACACTATTTATGGGCAACATAAAATGTTTACACTTGTAATATTTATTTCTATTAAGAATAACTAATAAATGTGGCGAGGAAAAATATTTGCTTTCAAGACTTCTTTGTTGCCCTTACTTGTTGATGAAGGCCAAGTTTGTACCGAGGAAAAGTTAAACTCATTCATGTTGACCCGTGTCTTTCTATCATTTGGTGAGAGAATGTGCCTACATGACATTGCCTTACTATATTTATAGCGCTTATACATGAGTTATTGTGCCGCTACCAACTGGGCTATCTGGAAAACATTGGGGGAGGCCTATGTTCAGCAGTGGACGTCCTGTGGCTAATGATGATGATAAATGATTTAGTGAGTCTTCGACTCTCGGTCGCTGGTCACCGATTTTATAGTAGTCGGTTTGTCTGCTAATAGAAAGAAGGAAAGAAAGAATAAAACTATTTGACAACTAATAAAAGTACAAAAATAAACAATAACTAATGCCCCTAAGTAATGTGGGTAACCTTACCCTTGTACAACTTGATATTATCATTCATGAAATTATTATGAACCAAACGTCGACCCTTATTCGAAACTATCAATTAGCTCTAACATGTTTTGATTTATACCCGGCCTTTAATGTTACCCTATGATAGCTCGATTGAATTTCATGAATATTGACTGTAGTCTAATGGTAAATGTTATTCAATTCAAGCAGAAGTTACTATACTAATCTCGTTCGTTCGTTTCAGCCAAATGACGTCCACTGCTGGACAAAGGCCTCACCCAAGGATTTCCATAACGACCAGTCCTGCCTGCATCCAGGTTCATCCTGCGAACTTCACCACATCGTCGGTCCACCTAGTGGGAGACCTGCTCGCGCTACGTCTTCCGGCCCGTGGTCGCCACTTGAGAACTTTTCTTCCCGAATGGCCATTGTCTCTACGAGCTATGTGCCTTGCCCACTGCCACTTGATTTTAGCAATTCTGCGGACTGCTGACTACCCAGTCTTAAACCTAAAGTATCATCATTTTACGTTCTTGTAAGTTCCATAAATAATTGGTATTTATTTAAGTAACCAATTCTTCTAACAGTTCCGATGGACCTTCAACAACACGGCGAACAGCAACGAAGTGAGCGACACTTACGTGTCCAGAACCGGCACCAGTTCCACTGTGACCTACACTCCTCACACAGAGATGGACTACGGGACCCTGCTGTGCTGGGCCCACAACAGGATAGGGAAGCAACGAGTGCCTTGTGTGTACCACATCATTGCCGCTGGTGAGTATGTTAAATCTTCTGAAGTATGTTTTGACGGAAGATTCTGTCAATACAAAGTTGATTCGCCAAAAGACCAAGCGGTCATAGTCCAAAAATATACAAACTAAATTGATATCCATATCAGAACTGACAAAAGGTTGAATTCATGGGTTTTCGAATTAAGACTATGTCTTGGCAGACATAATGTAAGATCGCCCGACATGCCAAGAAGATACAAGGTCTTTTGTCGGTGAAATGTGTAGATGGTGTTTTATCAAGTTATATTACCGCCCGTGTTCACAAACGATGCTTGCTTAAGTAAAGCAGCAAATCGAACGCACAGCGTTGAATAGAGCTCTGTGATTGGTTTGTTTGTCCCTGTGCGTCCACGCGCACTGTGAGACCTCATAGTAATGTTTGTGAATAGGGGCAGCATTGAATAGAGCTCTGTGATTAGTTCGTTTGTTCCTGTACGTCCACGCGCACTTTGAGACCTCATAGTAATGTTTGTGAATACGGGCGTACATCACTATAATAACAGACTATTTACTTGAATGAAATTATTGTAAACTATGAAATTCATAGTGTCGCTATTATTATAAACTGACTAAATAATTTCTCCCATAGGTCGGCCAGATCAAGTCCACAACTGCACGGTGGTGAACGCCTCTCTGACGTCGTTCGGGGTTCGGTGCTCCGAGGGGTTCAACGGTGGTATGCCGCAGTCCTTCCTTTTGGAAGTCCGAGATATTGTGACACAGGTGAGTACATAGCTTTTCCTGTGCCTAACTCATAAATAATGTCATAACAATGCAAAACCGAATAAGTTTTAAACTATCCACATATTGCTCTATTCATAGAAAAAGTTTCAAGTCACTTCTTAGATAATGAAAAAAATGATTATTAATTGCTAATAAAATCGTCAAAGTGACCTATGTGCGTATGTGGCTTTGTTTTGTGTTTTAAAATTAAATTCAAAAATTCAGTAACGTTTTGCTTGTGCCACGTTTGTTCTTTAATAAATGTTATTTTGTATTGTTCACCACAAACGCAAGATTGAAGACACACAAGCAATAAAGGAGATATTTACTGAATCATAATTTACTAAGACATTTTAGAAATCTCTTCGACATAATATTTCTACAAAACAAAGAACCTTAATTATGATAAGTATTTGTCTTAATTTCTAAGAAAATTGTCTGACCTCTATTTGTTCTAATCTATAATTCTGACATTTCAGTTGTAAGAAACTTTATGTTATACAATATAGTGTATACGACAGGCATATCAAACTACACATTTTCTTATTAAATTCATAACTATTACAACTACAAGTTGCTACAGTTTATGAGCCATTATCTGTACAAGAGGTACTTAGGTTTGAAGTGAATAAAGAGAATCTTCATGAAACTTAAGTTAAACTATAGGACGATATCTTTTACGGTGTAATAATGATAAATATTATGTGTGTTGTATTGATAGCACCACTCCATAAAATTCTTTAAAACAATCAAATTCGAAAATATAATATTGTTTAGTACTTGAAAACTTGTGTGTTGACAGAAAGCTATATTTCAAAGTTATTTGGTAACTTAATGTAATGTCTGAGTAATCATATAATTAACATAAACCTACTTTTTTGAACTGCTGCTGAGTTAAAGCTTTTTAATTATTGTTATCTAGAAGCATCCTACCAAAGAGTAGGTATATTAATTAAATTGTTAGTGAACGTCATTAATATTACCTAAACAAAGAGTATATTGTTTTAAGGAACGTCATTATGAATATCATGAACACAATACCCAACCAATTACATGTTTTACATACGCATTACTAAATCAAAGTTCCCTAATGAGAATTTGATGAAAATGATATCTCAGGGCTCCAAATTAAAACATTAAAAGCTGGCCTCGAAACACATATTCCCTCGGTAAATATTTAATTTGCTTTGTAACGTGTAGCCTATAATTATGAGTGTAATTAATATAATAACAGCACTAATTGCGTCCGCCGCTAAGTTGTGGAATGCGAACTAATTGTGGATTGAATATAACATGAATACAGATGGTGTTGTAATCAATGTGATCGATTGTGGCTGAATTATAGAAAACACTGTCGACATAGTGCAGAAAGGATAGTAGAAATCTCAAGCCTTGCCTTAAGATAAATCTACAATGCGATAACTTAATACTAGGTTACTAATGAAGCGTTTATTTTATTTTATTTTATTTATTAGGATAACCAACAAGACAAACACGCATAAATGGAATTACTAAAACTAAAAGTGCTTAGAACTAAGTGTTATGATACTGTGATTAAGCTATCTTTAAATATTTAAGTTTAATTTATAAAACCCCGAAACCCATTATTAAGTGTCCACCAAGGAAGTGGATAATTGCCCCGTCTTTCCATCTTATGCGCAGTATGTTATGCCAGTCTAGTATTTTAGGAAAAGCACATGAGAACCTAAGTAGTTACCTATACTGTGTTTGCACAGACAGACTACCATGACAGACACATTTCTGTTGCAAAATAGACTATTCTATCTACAAAAGCATTTAACTAGACCTACCACCTGTACAGGGGCTCTTGCCATAGCCTAAAACCAAGGAGCTAGAGACGGCTTACTTCTTCTTTTACTATGCTATCCATTAAGGTCGCGACCTAGAATATACGTTTTGATAGCAGCTGTACGAAATGGCTGCCGAATAGACTTGATTTAATGCCTCGGACGGCTAGCAACTTTGTCTGCGTGAAATTGTGTTTTAGATAGATTCTACTGGGGCAAAAGATTATTGCCGAAGTGGATTATATAAGCCCTGTAACGGAGCAGCTGCTATTCCTAACCTAGATTTAAATATTACTTTTATTGACTCTGAAATTGATTTATAACATGCTGGGTTTTCCATGTAAATAAACACCTCTTTTGATAATATGTACAATTGTACATCGTAAAAATAAAATCATCTCATTAAAAATTAGCAGAAATTAACGTTCAAAAGTAGTTCTTATTAGCAGTTGTGGGGACACCTTTGAAATATTAATATCTTATTCTTCTTTTCAGCCAAATGACGTCCACTGCTGGACAAAGGCCTCCCCCAAGGTTTTCCACAATGAACGGTCCTGCGCTGCCTAATATCTTATTATTAATCTAGTAATAATCATCTTAATAAACATCATTGGTTATTTAGTATCTACTGATCTCTCTAATTTACCAGATGGTTTACTATCTATTGACCTAAACTCCCTAAGTTGGCCAGACTGGTTAGCTAGACCTGATACCTACTCATTTGCTATTAAGGGATTCATGTCATCCACGGGAAGAGTACACACGATATATTATAGAATTTGAATTTAATCAAAGTGTTTTCCCACAGGAGATAGTGGCCAACGTATCCAGTGCAGTGCCTCGGTTCACTGCAGTTGGCCTCCAACCAGGAAAAGTTTATGCAGCTGCAGTTCTGGCGTATAATGCCAAAGGGAGAGGCGATCCTTACCCTCTAAGGGCCACCACTCTGAGGCCTCCGGAGAAACACCACGTCCATGATAAGAGCTTAGGTAAGATATGGAAAAATCTATTATATTTTTAGCAGAAATCACCAATTAAAACAGGTTTTGAATCGATAATAGCCGAACGATAAAAGGACCCGAGGAATGAAAATAAAGACCGGAAAAACTGTACGGCTAGCACGAAAAAATTTCGAGTTCAAATCGTTTGCGTACTCGAATCGCCATCAAAAGATTTAGTAAGAAAACTAAAATAGCGCCCTTGTGAAAGTGTCGTAAACTGAATTTAGTATGAGATGTGGTTGCACGAAACTTATTTTGAGAATCAAAATTGTCACGTTATCGTTTAATTCGAAGATTGAGTATCGAATTTTATCGAATACGCAAACGATTCGAAGACGAAAGATGTTCACGCTAGAGGTAGAGGACATCATTGGGGGAGGCCTTTGTTTATCGGTGGACTTCCTATGGCTGTAATGATGATGATGATGATAATCAAGAGCCACAATCTTCACTTTAACAGAAATTGAATTGATTGAATCTATTTTTGAGCTTCGATGTTTAATACTAAGTGTCGTACCACATGTCTAATGAAAATCAAGCATGTTCAGGCGACGGCAGCAAGTCAAGCAATAGATATGTACCATCCTAGACTGCATCTTAACATCAGGTGCGATTACGGTCAAATACCTGCCTTGTCTTGCATAAAAAAAATAAAAAGCAGTCATTAATTTTGTCTTTCTGGCACTGAAAATAAAATTGGTATTTTTTCCACCAGACCTCCCAAGAACAGCCTTCCAAATGTCGGGCGCCATGTCAGCAGCGGTGGGAGGCGGTGGTGTGCTCATGGTAGTACTAGTTCTCTTCATGATCGCTGTAAGACAGCGCTGTGCCAAGAGGAAGCCAAGGTCTGCCCCTCCACCGTCGTCTCAGCCAGCCTCGCCTGACAAACTGAGGGAGAAGGATGATAGTGAAAGCGATGACAGAAACCCTGATATTATACCGTCGGATACTGATCAGATGCAGGTAAGTCTTGGTGTTAAAAATGTAATTACTTTTAAGAGACTTTGTTTAAAGAAGCAACTGTATTGAATACTTCTAAGATCAACATGTTTCAAGTTCCCTTGCTTACTCGAAAATATCAAAATATAATGTAACAGAAGATTTTGTGAGTTTCTGTATTTATGGTGTAATATTCAAGATTATTCTACGTATTGAAAAATCCTTTACCATTAAAAAGTTACATTATAAGACAAAGAGTATAGTCAATATTGCTTCAGATGATTTATTTTAACCCTGGTGAAACCGAATCGTCTTGCTAATACGCTTTAAATATCATCAAGAAGTACTTACTTCATTTCTTGATTTCCATAATAAAAAGCTTATGACGATAAGTGTCCCAATTCCATCTACATCTAATAAATCAACATTAAAAGAATAAAGCAAATTAAATAAGACTGTACAATATATGTAGATCATGTATTGAATAGCATATAAATATTTTTAGGTCCTTAAAAAAATCTCTACAACCATAGACCTAACACGTCCCATATTTTTCCAATATCCAGCCGGGCATTCTACATAATTCCTCACCGCAGATGGACTACTACCGGCAGCAGCAGGTGTCTACCATCTCGCCGCCACCTGGCAGCAGGGGGCCTAGGGGCAGCGTGGCGGGGGTCAGGGGAGGCCTGCCGGGGTACTGTCCCCTGAGGACCGCGCCGCCACCCTCGCATCCTATGCACGAGCCTGTAAGTATAACAGACTACTGGCAACTGAAGGTCTCTAGCATCTCGCCTCCGGACAACCGGGAATAGCAGGTCTTCACCATCTCGCCGGAGCAGGGAACAACCGTAGCGTGGAGGCCTGGCAGGGGTCACGGAAGGCCTGCCAGGGTACTGGCCCCTGAGGACCGCACCCCAACCCTATAACTACTGGGAATAGCAGGTCTCAACCATCTTGCCGAAGCAGGGAACAAGGGGTAGCGTGGCGAGGGTCAGGGGAGGCCTGCCGGGGTACTATCCCCTGAGGACTGCGCACCCTCGCATCCTATGCATGAGCCTGTAAGTATAAGTTCGAAACAAGGTCTTGATATTTATCATATGCGTGTATAGTTTTAAGTCCCTTTGTTCTGTTTTTTGTTTTCTTTTGCGTCAAATAAAGTTTTTCTTATTCTTATTCTTATCAATCAGTAAACCTTCTTGAAAAACTTCTTGATATTAATGTGTCCCTCCCTGTCCGTCTTTGGTAATCTGAGAGAGAGACGTGTTCGTTGTATGGTGTGCTCGTAGAGTTACATTGACTACCATAAGTAAATGTAGTTGCATACTAGCTTTAACACCAGACACTACTCGTATAATACTGATAGCAACGTATAAAGAGCTACAATAGGATTTTCATTCACTGTGACTGAACTAACACTTTCTACCTATATGGCGTAATACAAAAAAGTCTATTCTCAGAATAAAATACTTTGACACTTTGATTTCAACATGAGCAGCATTCATAAGCGTGCATATGCCTCAAACGTGTACACGTTAGAAGCCTCTAAATGATAAAATTATAGTCTGCGAGACAGCACAAAGGTTCTTGTCAACTTTACGAGATTCCCCTTGAATATTTTGCTTAATACGTTCATGAAATAACTTAGCCTCCCATTCAGGAGTCGTGGCACGCATAACAATTTTGACGTGTGCGCTGCAAAATATATTGTTGCTTCTTGAACCATTTTCTGGAACGGTGGTACATGTTTACAATTTTAGCTTAGTAATGTGAAAGCTCTTCGAGCTATGTGCCCCGCCCACTGCCACTTGATTTTAGCGATTCTGCGGGCAATGTCAGTCACTCTGGTTCTCCTACGGATCTCCTCATTTCTGATTCGATCACGCAGGGAAACTCCGAGCATAGCACGACGACCTGGTGAAGGTCGCGGGAAGTACCTGGATGCAAGCGGCGCAGGACCGGTCTTTGTGGAAATCCTTGGAGGAGGCCTTTGTCCAGCAGTGGACGTCTTTCGGCTGAAACGAACGAACGAACGAATGTGAAAGATTTCGTACCTGATTTTTAGGGTTCCGTAGTCCTGACAAGGAACCCTTATAGTTTCGATATGTCTGTCTGTCTGTCCGAGATTTTGCTGTGTGGGGTATCGTTGGATAGGTCTTTTAAAATAGCTTGGGGGTTTCTAAGACTATTTTTCAATTTAGGGATCTGTTTGCAAATTATTAAAGTTTAAATTGCCAATTTTTGTTCGAATAGGGCAAAAAAGGTAAATCTGGAAAAAATCTTAATAATACTGCTTTTCATGAACTTTCAAGGAAAAAACTATGTATAACGGGTAAGATACATCACTTAATTTAAAAATAACTTTAGATGAAGGAATTGCTTGCTTCTGAAATAAATTGTGGTAACGACAGACAACTACGGAACCCTACACTGCGCGTAGCACGACACGCACTTGGCCAATTTTTTTTTCTATTTAGAGAACAAGAACTTTGACAGAGTCAATCAAATTCACGAATTAACATCTAGGTGACTGTCGGTGTTTTACGAAGGTAACAGCAAGTAGGGATTTCGTTTATGTTTGATGAATTTAGGTTGTGTGTCAGGATTAAGGAATCTAAACTTTAGACCCGACTTAGATCTAATCCTTTGGACCTACGTGTAGGTGTATGTAAAACAACTAGACTTTAGTGTAAGCTTTCAACGTGAAATGTCTAGGTATTTGTATCTTAAAATAGATTGTTTAATCTAGGCTAAATACGTAAGACTTTGTAATGATATGTACAAAGCTTTATGACGTCATGTTAATTTTGCCTATTTATAATAGTGTGTAGTTAAAGCCGAATATATTTTTGAACTACAAAGTAGGCTTTTAGGTACCTTGAATTATATTTAGGTCGCAAAATCCGTGTAGATGTTAGAAAAAGTTTGTTTTTCAACAATTTGGTTCGGTAAATGTTATGTAGATAAATTGCTCCTAGCGTACTTTTATATTGTGATATACACAGAGTGGAGTGTAGTGTATAATGGCGCGTTAGTATGATAAATTATTTTCCGCAGCGCATGAATATACTCGTATATTGCACGGTTGATATGGAAAGTAGCGAAATTAGCCATAAAAGAGTAAACGTTGTGGTACACTACTTTATTGCAGTATTTAGTAGCGCAAGCATTTTCTAAGTTACTGAGGCCCATTACTATTATGGTTTGTTTGGCATAATTTGATATGCTTTACAATGTATGTAATTGCTTCACTTTAAAGGCAAAGTGCTTTACAGAAAGTGCAGGACGACTTAGTAGAATTTTATCATAAACTAAGAATGTACTTACTAGTTCATTATGTACGCTTAAATTAAAAGCTTGTAATTGTAACTATTCTGAGCTATCTTCTAGCGAAAGTATCAATATGAGAGAGAGAGACTTATTAACCTGAATTAAATCTCTGTCATAACTTCTTAAAGTAGGTAACCGAAATCTAATTTAAATTATTAAATTCCTCCTCTCACTCGCTGGCCAGTTCAAATATCTGTGCTATTACTTGCCGAGAATTCACTGGTAACTGAAAATATTGAGAGAGATTTTGTTTCTATTTCTATGAGGTTTTTCGGCTCGAATTGTCGGGGGCAATTCCTGCCTGGTGGATACTATCTTTTCATTTGTTTTGGAAAATCGACGATTTGTTTGACTGCGCCTTTTCGCGTGTTTCACTCGTCCAGAGTGGAATTCACCTAGATTTTAACATAGGAAACACTGCTGAAACATTTTTTCTAGCTGAAACTTATATAGCATGTACTGAGTGGGTCTTTAGGTGACATTTGAAGCCGTCTGCAGACGCTGCCAGATACCTACTGCAGATTTCGGTGAAGTCACATTTGGACTCTTTACATTTGCTTCAAAACTATGTAAAGACTGTATTCTATAGATATCATTTTTCGTACTGTATCTTCAATCATCATCATCATCATCATCATCATCTTAATCATTTCAGCTTTAGGACGTCCACTGCAGAACATAGGATTCCCCCAATGACTTCCTCATCGCATGGTTGGTAGCGGCTGCAAACATAAAAAAATATAAAATAGATGCCACAGTGTTTGCCCTGGTGCGATCTCATTTTATCATGACAGTGCTGCAGTGTAAATGGTAATGTATAATCTGCCAAAAGTTCTGCCGAAATTTTCAGCTTCAGTGGAAACTGTTAAGCAGAGCTCCAGCAGAAGAGTTAGCCATGTTATTTATTTATGGGAATTACACGTAGTGATGAGCAACGTTGCTCATCATCATCGCTCAATTTGTCTTTTATCATCCAACACTCTCTAACCCAAGCCTTCATTCCAGAACTCCACATCGGGCATCCCGCCGCCCGCGCGTTTCGCAAGCGGATCGTGCACGCTCCCGCGCGGATCCACCATCGGCGCGGGAGACACCCGATGCGGCATCCCGCTCCAACATCTACGTACGCTCCCCCGCCCGCTACCCGCGCCCGCGCCCGCGCCCCGCGCCGTCCGCGACACCCCCCGCGACACGCCCCTCTGACAGACAACGCAACTATAGGACACGTGTACATACAAAGACTAAAGTGCTCAACTTCGTAACCGCACTGTTAGGTAGAAAATAAAATACTCATTTGTACATTCCCAGTGTAAATAGTTCGATTAGCGGGTGATTTTCCTTTTTCAGACGTAAACGGTTGTGAGATATGTAAAAACTAAACCAGTTATGTAAATTTTAGTACGATTTTGAACATTTGTGAGTCGAAGTGTTGAATGAGAATGAACTGTAAACACTTCCTATTGTAATATAGTTGAAACTAAACTGATATTAATATAGTCATTATAACATAATCACTAACATGTGATAATATTATTATTGGGTGCCTCGATAGTTTTGTTTCTGGTTTCCGAAAAGTACAAAATAGACAAATACTTGACTACTCGTGTACGTCTCTTGTGATCCAACTCATTTACTAAAGTCCGGTCGCCGAGCAGATAGAATTTCGTCGGCCGCAGTGAGTGTGTAAGAGCGACAGCAATATAATTACACGCGATAAGGATGGGTAGCTTGGGGTCATTGGACGAAATTCTGTCAGCTCGGCGACCGGACTTTACCTACAGTATTATAAAAGTCACACGTATTTATCTATATTGTGCAAAAAGTGTGTGACTGATCATTTTAGTCTGTGGATGAATAAGAACGGCGCTGATATTGTTAGTTTTTAAATCTGCTCCCGCTCTTATTCGAACCACAACTTTACCTCTTATCACTGCCCAGTAAATCATAACAAATTAAATAATTAACGAATGTTATTCAAATGAAAATATCGAGGCATGAAAGAATGAATCAAATCACGAAGCTTAGTCGATAATTGCAATAAATAGTTAAAACTCATGTGATATTATATTCATTGAGCAATAAGTCCAAAGACTAAACACAAACTTCTGAGCAAACAAATATTTCAATGTCACTATTGTTTTTGAGTTTTACATTTTTTCAATTCAGACACCATCTTCAATAGCTCTTTACGGTTTTGGATTGTTTTATTATCGCGATCTAAAGCTGATACAGCGCCATCTATTGGCTGCGTATGACCTTACATATTTATAATTCAAGCATCTGTAGTATTTTAGCAAATATAATAAAACATAAGAGATCCCTAAGATCCCTACGAGGATAAATATGCCTTAATGACAGAAAAAATTCAACGCAAGTTTGCTCGCTGGCTGTATAAAAAGAGATACGGATATTATCATGACAGTGCTGCACCCTATTTGTACCCGTCCTTGTTTGTCTCCGGCATGGTTGATTTGGAAACCCTTAAGTTTAGGAGGATAATGTCAAGTATAATATACTATTTGTCGATTATACATGGCAAAATTGATAGTCCACAAATATTAGCGAAAGTAGGCTTATCAGTGCCCACGCACATACCACGGGATGTTACCGGGATGGTTGAACCGCGTCGCCGCCCTAGGCTGCTACACCGGCCGGTCACGCGCACCACTCGCGCAGCGAGCGCGCCTTCTACCCGCGCATTACGTTTAATCGGGGACTTAGTTGCTCAGCACGATATCGACATATTTGCCGACCGCTTAGGTACAATAATGGTATTAATTCATAGATTTTTGTGTAGGTAATAACTTTGAATAACTTTGACATTGATCTCTGGACATAAATGTATTTATCTCTTATTTTTATTAGTAGTCTTAGGTATGACATTCTATTTTGGACTTAATTATTTTATGTATTTAATTTTAATGTTATTTGACTATTATTTAATTTATCGTTTTAATTATTTGACAATTTTACATATTGAAATTGATATTATAAATTATCTGTATTGTATAACTTGTTGGCGCGTTGGACTTTCTGTAAGCCTTCAAGCAGATTATAAATAAATAAATAAATAAGTATGCGAACTGAATTCGTGACTTGATTCAGGATAGTGTTAAAGTTAATTTGTCCATTACGGAATATTTTGTACATAAATAATGTTATGATTGTAAATAATGTTTTATATTATAAAGTTATCCTATTTGTGTCTTAAAGTGAAGTTTTTGAGTCGTGAAATTGAGAAAAGCAATATTTGTGTTACCGAGAATGTATTTAAATATAAGTTTTAAACCAAAGTGAAAATGCTCGTAAACTGTGAATTTTTTTGTGCTTTTTACATGAAGATTTATTAGGAACAGACTACACGCTGCGATTTCTCGTGGCGTGTAAGATTTTCTCGTCGCGTATACAACGCGTTAACGCTGCGTGAGCGCTTTGTGAATCGTAGCGTGATCGTCGTACAAACGCTGCGTGAACGTCGTGATGACGCAGTAGTGCGAGATTATCGTAGTTATGCCTCGCCAGACAAATCATAATTGTTTTGTTAGGGTGATAAAGCTCTATTAGGACAAAAAATACTGAACGGTCGTTATAATTATCACGAAAATATGGAAACATCATAAAAACTTGTTTAAATCTAACTTAGTGTTTATTTTATTGATAAGTGAACAAACACGAATAATAGATTTATATAGATTTTGGATTTCTATACGCCGGAATATAGATTTTGGATTTCTATACGCCTAACTCAATGTTCTTTACGAGTACCTACTTGTCCAACCTAATTTTTATGCTAAATACGGTTTTGTATTTAATAAATTATTTAACAAATTTTATATAATTTCAATCAATATGCTTATTAATTGTGATATTAAGAGTAAGATTGTTTTATTATTATGATGTTGTTAATTAGTTTCAATATTGTTTTATAATTTTGTATTTATTAAAACCTAAAAATCTTGTATCACTGCCTTAAGCCTAATTTGTTTAAGTATTTTTGACAAATGTTTGTTTTGTAAATAATTGATATCAATGTTAATAATATTAAAGATACATACAACCTGGTAACACAAATATTTCAAAAAGAAAAATGGACTTGAAGACGATAATCATCGAATAAGTTGATAATGGACATCTCAATTATAAAAAAATATTTATAATTAGTTAAAACATTAAATCTGCGGTTTCCGTTAATGGATATTAAATATCCAATTGTGTTGCTAGATAATAATTTTATCTATTACGAATTTCAGCTAAGTTTGTTCGTTATAATGTAAATAGTTTAAAATGAAATCTTTCTAACTGTCAAAATGTTTTCACTAAACTATTGGGAAACGAAAATAAATGAATAAATGGAAATATTCGCAAATGTTCCTTTGTGATGTTTATTTTTCAATTATACTTTAATCCCGGGTATCACGGCTTGTGTTGGAAATACAAACGAAATAGCTAATTTTGAACTTTGCGCTCGTAAAACAAAACAGTTGGATGCTACAAAGGATGAACTGCAATGTTTGTAATATTAGTAATATTAGAAACAGCAACTTTCAGACGGTTTTACTGAGTTTAATAAACCAATAGGTGAACTGAAAGTATTTTCTAAAGCTAGCCTTTGTCAAATTTTAATTAGCAATATGCAAAAAAAAATGTTCTTACATATTTGTATTTGACCAAAGATCTGTTGAAGGTTGCTGGAAGAACCTGGATGCGGGCAGGCAGGACCAGTCTTTATTGAAATCCTTGGAGGCCTTTGTCCAACAGTGGACGTCATTTGACTGAAACGAACGAAAATGTTGTTAAAACATTGTAAAGAAAGAAAGAAAGAAAGAAAGAAAACATATTTATTTGGTACTAAATGTACAACGTTCTTTGATCATCAGCTCAAACTGATGCTGATCAAAAGGTAAGAATTAAACTGAAAATAATTTCTAAGGTATGTAATATACCTTAGAAATTCTAAAGCTAGCCTTTGTCCTTCTTACTGGCCATTTTATACGTTGTAGAGAGAATCAACTTCGTATTACGGATTTTAACTGTAAGTAAAAACTAGCAGGGTTAAATCCCCAAAAGTAGTAAGTTCAAGTTAAACCGGCTTCACCCACCGTTAGTCACACATTATCCAGTAGTTAAACCCTTTGCACGACCATCTGTGTGAGACAAATTAACTAATTTATTTGAGTCTTTCTAGTATGGGTTCTGAAGTTAGGGTGGATTTTCAGTAATAGCGAAAGATAAAAAGATATTTAACATAGAACATAATTATAACTCCGCTGCGCCTCGGAACTACTAGAACGCGGGAATAGGTGAACTCACCACGAGAGGTTAACGGTTATTTAAAAAAAAAAACTGCGTTACAACATTTGCTGTTGCTGCTCTGCTTTGAATTAATTGCGATGTTTAACCAATATCAAAGTGTTCTTTGCTGTCGTTATTATCAAATTCTCATCCAAAAAAACTTAGTCCAAAGCCGTGAAATAATTTTTAAAAAGTTGATCTGCACTTTTTAATCTGTGACATTGACTTAATCACGGTGTATGACGCAGGTTGCACAATATCACTACTTTTTAATAACATTTCACACAAGTAATAGTTAAAATTAATTATTTCAATCAATTTAAATAAATAAAATAAATTTTAGAACACATAAAATACCAATAGTAAAATTTTGAAGTATTATTCGACAAAAATAAAATCTTGTCACATCTATGCGAATCAGTGCGGAACGGACGCTTTTTATTTTTGTATCATCTTTGTTTTTTTTCAATGTTGGTATTACGCTCGTAATTTATTTTTATGGTGTGTGTAATAAACGTTGACGTAATAAATCCCGTATTATTATTAATTAAAAGTATTTTCGTGTATTTTGATATAACCACAGACTATGCCAGAGTGGATTCATTTTAATTTCGACCTACCCTACATAAGCACTATAATAATTATTATGACACATCGATTCTGACTTCAGTCTGTGTCGGGACGTCGGCCTGCAACATGGCCATGTTCGCGGCCATGCACGCGTGAATTTTGTGAGTTTTTGAAAAAGTGTGCAACATGGCCGAACGTATAAATTTTGAAAGTTTTTGAAAAAGTGTTGTGTTTGTGTTTCCTGTGCTGTGCCCACGCTGTTCCTGTATCCTGATTTGAACTGGTAAGTACCTATTTTTATGTAATAAGTACAAACGTTTGTACCTGATTTTCGTCACTTTGTTATTTGTGCTCACTGTAAAATGATTTATAAAGACAGCTAGGATGAAAAATAATGAATATTTTCGCATAAACTCCAATAATAGGGATCACATACGAGTACACTTTTGACCAGTACGTGGAATGAAGTATCGTAGGTACCCTCCTATCTCCTATCTAACAAATCATACATAATGTCAAACAAATTGGCAAATATTCTAAGGTCTTGTTCAGATACTGATTTTTTTCTGGGTAGTTCTCATTGGCGACGCACTGAGGCCGTAACCGTGCCGTTCGGTTTAATGCAAATACTCGTAGGTATAAGAGAACTTCTCAACAACTGTGTGATTATCGCTGTATTTGAACCAGGCCGAAGGCACATTTCCAAGGAGGCATTCCGTTTTTGAAAAACGTGTCCTGCACAAAACCGAACCATTCGAATTTGGAATTGGAATTTCACCAAGGGTACAACATGTGCTCACAGGGCAGTCCTGCTCCTGCATTACTTACTTAGGTACTGGATCTCGAAAAACGGGATTGCCATGTGA